GTGTAACGACAAATCCTCATCATGTCTTGTAAAGTTCCATCTCCATTCTACATCTACCAGATGTGGTGAGTTGACTTCATCCGAATAACTTTATTCAGAAGAGACACATTATTTAGACTGCACACAGATCGAAGAAGGGAAGAAAAAGGAAGGGGAACAAATCACGAAATCGTAGACGTATATACTGCAAGTGCAATGGCCAAGTTGAATACTTCCGCATACCGATGTTAGAATTCACATGTAATGCTAATGTCGTTTAACAATAGGGGCAACGTCACTCGTGTGTATGCCCGCCTTTCAACTAGACTGGTTCCCATGCTCCCCTTTGTCGATTTTGACCTTCAACGGAGCGGGAACCAGTCTATACCTGTCACCTCGTTACCGCAGCGGTCAAACAGAGTCAATGACATTGATTATGGCACAGACGTAGCTCAAGCGTGCAGACCTATATACAGGCATGCAACTGGAAAGTCCCCCAAAAGAGGAAATTCAAATCTTTCCAAGACTTTGTACAGTGTTTCTCTATTTTTAATGACGCACATGGGAGGTCAAAAAAGAGGAAATCAGCTGATCTGAGGAAAGGTTGCATGCCTGAATATAAAGACCCAGCATTGCCCCTCCAGACCAAATCACAATTTGTATGCTCTGAAAAATTTCATTTTGTGGGCCACGAACGTGAAGGTTTGAAAGAAAAAAAAATAGGTGGAAGCCGTGCACAAACTAATAGCTTAATTTCGTATTTCTGTGAAATTTGCATGAAACTGGGCCCCGAAATTTTTACTTTTTTGCAAAGGAGCGCAGGCATCATTTTCAAAATGGCGATGGGCCAACGGACTACTTTTCAAGTTGATCATCTTTGAATGGAATTGAAAGATAATGAAATAAGCATTAATTTCCTGGGTGTCTCAAACACCTTAAAGAGTTGTGAGTGTTTTTTAATAATTTTCGGAAGTACTCGTAATTTTTACTGAGGTCTCTGGGAGTCGATTAGCAAGTCTGCACTTCTCACGTTTCGGTACAATCATTGTCTGCTAATTAGGGGGACAGCAATAAATCACATTAATGAACAGCGTATTTTAACTTGTAAAAATGCTGATTATGAACACAGATCATCCAATCAAGTTTCCGCTCTGATATAAACGATGTAAATCAAAACTCTTCATATGGATGGAGGGTTACGAAAAAAATAGTAAGATTGAAAATTTATCAGTGTAACCAGAAATGAACACGCAAAAGGTTCGAACACCTTCACTTCAACAGCCTAATACTATATAAATAAGCATGATGACAAACACGTGAGCGCAGTATGTTAAAACTTTATTTCGTTACTAAAACATATGTTCGTCAAATAATTAAAGCATAATGAAACATGTTGTAACAACAATTCCCAGATTCTCGGGACTCCGAGATAAACAACCCGGCGTGGCAACTGAAAAAATACACAATCTAGTCAAATGAAAATCAACTACAGTCTTGATGATTTTCTGTAAACCGTATAGACCGCTTTTCCACTTTGCTTTTCGCATCTGATATAAAGGGAAAAGGAATAAATATTTCCCATAATGAAAATAAAAAATGTTACAAGAAATATACCTGTTTAAAGTACATTTACATTGTGTTTTGTCTATCATAATTATGTACTCCGACTCAATAAACCCAGTATTTCACTTTAATAACTTTAAAACATAGATGGAATGAACTGGCATTCACATGACAAGTTTTAAAGCGAACAGCGATTGATTAAAAAAATATTTCAAACTTCTTTTAAGAATGAAATATGATCACTATAATTTTAAACTAACCCAGTGATAAACGATAAATACAATATTAAGTCATGTAAAAATAGCCGGGCTTACCGAAAGATAGCGATATACATGTATTCATACAACATTTTATTTCAATCAACCTCTCAGAAAGCAACACTTTACACACTGACACAGCTGTCGAGAAATCTTTGTAGAATCTTCTTAACTCGCAATATCTTCAAACTCAAATTAAGTTTCTCTTCAATATCGATGTATAACAAACTCTGGCGTTGACCAAACAAAAATCTGACTTTTTATGAAGTAAAAACGAGACATCGCAGTGACATAATATGCACTTACCAATAACAATTGGTCACTTTAACAGTAAATAAAAATCAGAGAACAAATTTGGTATCATCAGTATTTAAAATCTAATATCAAATAGAATTATTATTGCGACTGTGAGTGTAGTCATACGTTATGCTTGACATGCGCATCAGCAGGACTTCCTAAAAGACTGGCTGCAATATGGTTATACTGTCTACAACAGTTGACTAATAATACAGTTAAGACCAACTGTATTAATCAGGTGACCTCTTAAACAATGAATTAAATGCACATTTTGATTTTTGTAAGCATTAAAATCAACGACAGAATCAGCCACATACAAGACATACATAGTTATGCTAAGACTTTGCAGTACCACAGTATGAAACGTATAGAAAATGCACACTTTCAGATTTCAGTTCGATTTCTCTTACACAAGGTTGGGTTAAGCAAAGATATGTACAAGTTATAAACAGTTAATATACAGGTTATAAAAGTTATTTACAGGCATGGCACATCCTCAAATTTAAATTTGGCTAACTGATTGCATGTCATACTCTCATTGTTCCATAGATTAATATTCTCATATATTCCATACTGAGAACAATCTTTACCAGGCATACAAAACTAATTTTTAAACAGCGAAATAACCCGTTGAGTATATATAGACACATACATTGTATACGCAAATATTTAGCTGAAAATATTTCTATTGGGCTGTTCACCAATTAACGTGGATTTACCTATTCATACAGCCGCAGTCTCTTTTCACTGTTACTGTATCTTACTTTAATGAGATGATGTCGTTCGAGACAGTACGTAAAATCAAATATATATCTACAATCTTTCCAATTTATTTTCAGGATTTCTGAAGTTAATAATTATTTATCTCATGTTTCACATTTTTGGCAAGCAACAGAACCACTGTTAAGCTGTCCTCGATTCTATTACGATGTCAATTACACTGAGCCTGCTTTTAAACTCTCAATTACACTGATATTAAATTGTCACAATGTCGATGCGCGTTGGACATTCATTGCTATCAATCTGTGAAGCGGGTACAAAAATAATTCGACCCATATAAAAAGGACAGCGGAGAATGCTTTACGATCCCCTTCCCCAGAATTATCAGAGGTCCACTTTTCTTTGTTATACACAGAGGATTGTTCAGGAGACAGTGTTGAATGATATTCACTCCATGTGTCTGTATAATGTGTTCAGAGCAATCAATTCTTTCACGACCTGCACACGGCCCCTCCCTACATTCCAACCATTTTATTTGAGCTCCAAAACAAAATACTGGAGAAACTCCGTTACCACAAATACTTCATCCGTGGATGGCGGGCTGCGATATTTTGACTTATGAAGTTCAAGGTTGCTGCTATTATTCAGCAACCAAATGATACGTTCTGAGACATTTTATTTATCGGATATACATGTATTATGTCAGCGCTATTTCCGAAATTCTTACAATTATTAAAAAAGAGAAACGTTTTCAGTTTACCGTGAATTTTACTATAAGCGCATATTTACATCAATCAGAATATCCGCCTTTCACTAAAATCGTGTACCTATTAGTTATTGCTAAATATATTCGGTCGAATGATTTTGCAGAAAATGATTCAGTTTACAGCATGTTCCTCCCCCCCCCCTCCAATGTTTCGATGTTATTCACTGCATTCAAACAAAATGTCTGGATTCAATAAATATAGAAAACCTCGTTCCCTGCGTTTGTTTGCTGGATTTTGGGCAAGTGGCGTGAAACTTTTGACCTTGCTTGTGGATTGGAGCACAACTTGATCTTACTGCAAGACCATACTCGCGACTCTGAGACTGACTCGATCCAAATGATCACACTCGTGCTCGCTCATCTTGTACTTAAGCATGCTCATCGCAGATCTCAGCGCAGTTATAAATCGTACACGTCCTCTCGCGAGAAATCATCCTTAGAAGAAGGGTCCTCTTCAGAGGAAGAATCCTCATCAGGAGAAGAGTCCTCTTCAGAAGAGTCCTCTTCAGAAGAAGAGTCCTCTTCAGAAGAATTAAGGTCCTCTTCAGAGGAAAGCTTTTCATCAGAAGAAGAGTCCGCTTCAGAAGAAAGGTCCTCTTCAGGAGAAAAGTCACTCCCCCATTCGTCATCGAACTCAAAATCCACTCCACTTCCCCGTGACTCAGATATGTGTTTCTTATCTTCTTCTGTCAGTGCACATCCGCCCAATTTTAGGCTACTGACATGTTTCATTTGTTTCAGGCTGGGAGCCCACGTTTTTGCAGAGCCACCCAATGAACGATTTCCCACAAGGCTGAGGGATTGTACTCTTGACATTCCACTTAGTGCTGTAGCAATGGGTTCAATGTCAGTACTCTTCAATGAGCAATGAGTTAATCTTATCTCTGTCAGGCGCGTCAGGTTATGTAACGGTATGGTCCATAAATCTGTGGAACCACCCAGACCATCAATGTGATCAAGGCTCAAACTGACTAAATCTCTGCGATTACTGAATGACTGTAAAATATCCGCCATATCCTCACCGGTTAATGAGTACCTCTTAATGCTCAGTCCTATGCCATTATCGAGTGGTTTTACATGATTCTCAAAAAATCTACCGAAATTACAATCCACCAGATTCTCAATGCGACTTACTGATTCAGCGATATATTTCACTTCGCGACTGTTAATGTTACAACTACGCATATCAAGCTTCTTTATGTGAATCATAGACAACAAACTAGCCGCCCACGTTTCTGCGTTACCACCCAATCCCTTATTGAATGAAAGATCAAGATCGGCCAAGTGGGGCATCTCCCCAACTGATGATGCAATATGTGGTATATCTTGTTTACTTATGCCGCATGATATTAACCCGAGTGATTTCAGGTGAATCATCGACTGCAAGCTAGCTGCCCATGTTCCTGCGTTACTGTTGTGGCGCTCTTATGTAATACCAGACGTGGCGCTCTTATGTAATACCAGACGTGGCGCTCTTATACAAATTCTTGTAATACCCTCCTAATCTTGTGTGGCTATATAAGCACGCCCGTATTCATTGTTCGTTGCAGTTGGCTTCAGGGCGTTGGCTTCATCATGACTTTCTGTACCATTTTCTGTAGTCATATTAAATTATTTGGAAGCGGAGTTTAAGTTTCCTGTGTTTGGATTTGAGTTGTCCAATGTCTATTTTTAAGCCTCTATAAATTCCTAATTCGCTACATCAAAAGCATCATAAGAAATGGTGGAAGATCCGCACCAACTCTGTGTTTCTACACCGAGCTTTCCCGGTCCTTCATTCCGGACTCTGACGGCCAACGCCCCGGTCAGCTGCCCTTGCCGGGCACGGTAAGTTTTTTTTTATTTTTCAAAGTGGCATCAGTTTCGTAGGTTTCATTTTCTTTTGTAAATAAAGTATTAAAGGTTATACTGGACACAGTTGTAGAATTATACAGTAAATGATATAAAGTGGCGGATTGTCCAAATTAATTTCATTTGATTTCTGTGTTCAAGTATCAATCCTTCAATGTTTATGGAAGTCGATCTAGAAGAAAAACCAACAATGTCGGGCACCAAATATGATTTAGCCTCTAGTGGACTAAAATATTCAGGTCTTCCCGAAGAGGACGTAGACGAATTTATTTCTAGATTTAGGACTTTGGCCTCATTAAGAGATTTTGCAGATGCCAAAAAAGTCTTGGCTTTACAGTCTCGAATATTTGGCCACGCCCGAATTTTTCTAGAAAGTGTGCCGAATGAAGACAAAAATTCAGTAGAGAGTATCCAAACGATTTTGAAGAAACATTTTCAAGGTGACTCTTGGGTGTGGCAAGTTGAAACAAAATTGCTTGAACGAAAACAACTACCTTCCGAAACATTGGATGATTATGCTTCAGATATTATGCACATGTGTCAACAAGTTAAGAAATCAAGTGCAGAGTGTCTTTCCATATTTGTACGTGGATTATTACCATCCATTCGGGCATTTGTATTTTCCAAACAACCGAAATCATTCCATGATGCTCTTGATTATGCTAGACTGGCTATTTCTGTGCAACAAACGGCTCACGAGCCGGATAGATTGAAAGCAAATGATACTAATCCTAGTGTTTCCGTAAATGCCATCCATTCCACTCTGCAATCCCTTACAGTAACCATGAATTCAATTGCGAATAGGTTGGATAGGTTGGAACAACAGAAGGAACAAAGTCCAAAGAAACCAATTTCACCTGGTAGAGCTAATCCTCAGCAATCCAATCGTTATCCATTTACTTGTCACAGATGTGGACGCACAGGTCACAAATGGCGCTATTGCCGAGCTACTTTCGATGTCTTAGGTAATCCTTTAAACTAAGGAGCCCACCTGTTAATGTCAAAACTTCAAAAATTCAAACACCGACAGGTGGGGAAGCCTCAGACAAACAAAAAGAAGGCCTTGTGAATTCACAAGTAAACAGTAATTCTGATTGTGTTGAAATTAATTTGAGTTCTTCAAGTACAATTGATGTAAGGATTTATCATATACAAGTTGAAGCCCTTATTGATACTGGTGCTTCCATTAATCTTATCGATAATGACTGGCTTTTAAAACATCTTCCTGCCATGCACCATTTAATCGAAAAACCACGTTTGATGAGTGCTAAAACGGCTAATAATTCTGACTTAGACATTACAGGGTTTATTACCTTACCAGTGGCTATGTGTGACACCTGTTTTCAAATAGAATTCCATGTTGTGTGTAGTCTTACCTCACATATGATTCTTGGTTCACATTTTCTAAGCGAACAGTGTGCTAACATAGATTATAGGTCACGTAAACTACGACTCACTAAGAAAAACCAGTTGCGTGTTCTTAAGAAGCAAACAATCCCACCACGCTCTCAAACCGTAGTTTGTGCAAAAGTTTCAAATCAACTTCCTGTAAACACTGTTGGTTTATGCCTTGGAGGTAGACATATTACGTCACTAGGTGTAATGGTGGCACGCACCGCAAGTCAAGTTACAAATGTCAAGGGTCAAGCAAATGTATTGGTCATGAATATTTCTGAAGATCCAATTACTTTGTATCCACGTACCAAACTGGGAACGTTCAATTTAATCGATCCCTGTGAGTTAGTACCAATGACAACGATAGATCTTAAGGAACATGAGGCATACGTAGCAGAAGTTAAAACTTCTTCTGACAGTAACAACCCAAGTTTGAGTGAAGCTTGTTGTGAGAAAACAGTGATTTCTGGAAAACGGACAGAAGAAATTCTCTCCAAAGTCATGTTGAATACAGATCACATGTCTAATTCAGAAACAGCTGCGATAACTCAGCTAATATCAGATTATTCTGACATTTTCCAAGTTCATGGAGGACCTAGAGGCCGATATTCAGGAGTTAAACATACTATTAACACAGGAGATCACCCCTCGATTAAGTCTCGGCCCTATAGACAACCACCTCACATCCAACAGGAAATACAAAAACATGTCAAGAGTATGTTGAACGAAGGCATTATTAGAGAATCCACTAGCCCATGGAGTTTCCCAGTATGTATGGTACCAAAGAAAGAGCAGGGTTCATATCGTTTTTGTGTAGATTTTCGTAAGCTAAATAAGATCAGTATTATGGATAATTTTCCATTACCGAACATATCTGATGCACTTGATAGCCTAGGCATCATGAAACCACAGTATTTTTCAACTCTAGACCTAGCAGCTGGATATTGGCAAATAGAACTTGAAGAATCATCCAAATCCAAGGCTTGCTTCATTACGCAAGATTCTCTGTATGAATTCCAGGTACTTCCATTTGGTTTGCACTCTGCCCCTGCCACATTCCAAAGAGCTATGCAAGAAGTGTTGAGAGGTCTAAATTGGAAATTTGTGCTGTGTTATCTAGATGATGTAATAATCTCAAATACATTTGCAGAACATTTACATCATTTGAAGCAGGTGTTTGATCGTTTTCGTAACTCTGGTCGTAAATTACAGCCCAAAAAATGTGTTTTTGCCCAACAAAAGATCAAATATTTGGGCATGGTTCTGAGCAGTGAAGGGATTGAAACCGATCCTGACAAGGTAGAAGTTGTCAAAAATTATCCTACACCAAAGAAAGTTTCAGAAGTAAGATCATACCTTGAATTTGTAGGGTATTACCGTAAATTTATCAAGGACTTCTGTAGGATTGCAGAACCTCTCACTAACTTGACTAGAAAAGATGTGCCATTTATTTGGAGTGAAAGTTGCCAAACTGCATTTGAGACTCTCAAACAACACCTGGTTGAACCACCTATTTTAGCGTTTCCCAGATTTGACGGTACAGAATTTTACCTTCAAACAGATGCGTCTGGAAAAGGACTCGGCTTTATTCTAGCCCAAGTCCAAGACGATAAAGAAAGGGTCATTGCCTATGGTGGTAGAGCATTACATAATGCAGAACGCAACTACACTACGACTGAATTAGAGGCTCTTGCAGTTGTCGAAGGTGTAAAGAAATATGCACAGTATCTCCAGGGAGTAAAATTTACTGTTGTTACTGACCATTGCGCATTAAAGTGGTTATTTGACAGTAAACATGCTACTGGTAGATTAGCACGTTGGGCACTTAAATTACAGTCATATAACTTTCAAGTTGTACACGTCAAAGGCCGAAATTGTCATGTAGATACACTTAGTAGAATTGACTATGATAGATCCTGTACTGAATGTAGTCGGTGTCATGTTTCTAACAATACTGTTCCGACACAAATGGATACCAGTTGGGTAGAAACAGATTTTGATGATATTGATGATGAAGTTTTGTGTTCTGCTGATGAAGTTAAGTCATCCAGTCCGAATGTTAATGTTGTAAAGAATTTAAGATATCAGCATGGAAAGAGGATACCGAGTAACGACTGTGTTGAAAAAGAGGCTCCTCAATTTCCAACTGGAATTAATCTTGAAAATTTCAAACAAGCATTAGCAGTAGATGACTTTTCTGGTACGATGCTAAAGTTTTTAGAAAGAAACGAATTACCAGACGATGACAAAAAGGCCAGAAATCTGATACTACAAGCCGATCAATATTTTGCCAAGGATGGTTTATTATATCATATTTGGCATACTCCGTCAAATCGACACATGCCAGAACGGAATATATATCAGTTGTATGTACCCCAACTGTTTGTAGGCACAGTACTTGATAATTGTCATGACAGTGTCCTTGCCGCTCATTTTGGATTTCATAGAACTTATAGCAAAATCCGTCAACGTTACTATTGGAAAGGAATGTACAAAGATGTAGATAATTGGGTGCGTAGTTGTATTTCATGTGCTCAGAGAAAAACGCATAGACACAAGGTTTTAGCACCGTTGATTACAATGAAAGTCCCTGGGCCTTTTGAACGAGTAAGTGTTGATATTCTGGGGCCATTACCTGTTACAACAAATGCTAACCGTTATGTTCTCTGTTTCACAGATCACTGTACGAGATGGCCTATTTTGGTTCCATTGAAGAACATAGATGCATCCACAGTAGCTAGAGCACTCTACGACAATGTTATTTGTGAACATGGGTGTCCAGAGACTCTACTAAGTGACAGAGGATCAAACTTTCTTAGCAAGGTGGTATTAGAGGTGTGTCGAATCATGCGAACTCACAAATTGAATACCAGTTCCTATCATCCTCAATGTAATGCTATTCAAGAAAGGTTCAACTCAGTTATCCTTGATACCATTTCTCACTATGTAAATACATGTCATAATGATTGGGATCAATACTTAACCTCCGTACAGTTCGCTTATCGCACTACACCTGCTGAAAATTCTGTGGGATTCAGCCCCTTCTTCCTTTTATATGGTAGAGAAGCAAGGTTACCCTTAGATGTGACACTCCTTACAAATTCCAATTATCCAGAGAAAACACTTAGAGAGCACATGCATCACTTGGTTTCCCAACTTGAAGTTTTTCGAGATGTATCCAAGCGTCATGCAGAGCTCAATCAAGCCAAAATGAAAGAGCGTTTTGATGAAAAAGCACAAAAGGTACCATATCAAATTGGAGACACAGTTTGGATTTATATTCCTGCATTCCAAAAAGGACTATCCCGTAAACTTATGAAGTTTTGGGCTGGACCGTATCTTTTAGTAGAACAGACATCTCCAGTAAATTTTCGAGTTAGAAATCTTGAAAATAATAAATTACTGTCTTCCCCAGTACACGTGAACCGAATGAAATTTGCATATAACAGATATGTTCGCCCAAGTAATGATTCTGTTCCATTTGATCCAAAGCAGAATACATCAATACTAGGTTTGCAAGAAGATGACTGCCCACAAAACATTTTCCATCCTCTCACGGCAGTACATCAGTCCAGTGAGTCGGAATCTTCTGGAATTCCCTTTGTTCCAGGATTACCGCAGATTTCAGAGAAACCCAAAGAATATGAAATTGAGCGCATAATCAGAGGCAGGTATAAGAATAAGCGACTTGTGTACCTGATCAAGTGGAAAGGTTTTCCTCACTCAAAGAATACTTGGGAACCCGAAACAAATTTGAATGCTGCGGCATTAGAGTTCCTTAAAACACATCCAGTGAAGATTTCAGGTAAAATGTAAAATAAAATTAAAAAAAAAAAAAAAAAAAGAGAAAAAAGAGAAAAAAAAAGAGATTAAAATATATAATTGTGTAATCAATTAGCATTGTAATTGTTTTGATTGCATATGTTGTGGCCTTGATATTGCTGTCTTGATTTTGTGATCGACTTTCTCATTTTTATGCCATTTTGATTATTAGAAGAATCAAATTAATTTATGAAACTTACTGCTGATGTCACTATAATTGTATTTTACTCTTGCATAAAAAGAAGTGTTAAGTTGTTAAAAAGAGTAAAAGCTGTAGCAAATAAAAGTCGACTTTATAAAATAAATAAATTATGAATTTTATTTAGTTTACGATGCTTAAGTGATAATTCAGCTTCCAGTGGCGCCCTGGATGGGATTGTTGAGGATGTCGGACCACGTGAGGAACCTGCGGCCTGATCAGCCTGATGAGTGACTGTGTGTGATGTGATGAATGACGAGATGGGAGAACGTGTGGAGGTCCTACGCGGTTAATGGAGACGACTATGAACACCATTTACGACCCGCAACGATCGACCCAGTATGGAATAAATTAGCTGATATTATAACTTAAAAAAATAAAATAATAATAATGTAATTTTGAATAGCTCGAATTTTGTTTATATTTTGTAATTAAATTGTCGGGAGCCAATTCAGTTAGGGGTGGCGTATGTTGTGGCGCTCTTATGTAATACCAGACGTGGCGCTCTTATGTAATACCAGACGTGGCGCTCTTATACAAATTCTTGTAATACCCTCCTAATCTTGTGTGGCTATATAAGCACGCCCGTATTCATTGTTCGTTGCAGTTGGCTTCAGGGCGTTGGCTTCATCATGACTTTCTGTACCATTTTCTGTAGTCATATTAAATTATTTGGAAGCGGAGTTTAAGTTTCCTGTGTTTGGATTTGAGTTGTCCAATGTCTATTTTTAAGCCTCTATAAATTCCTAATTCGCTACATCAAAAGCATCATAAGATTACCACCAAATCCATCATTGAATGAAAGGTCGAGATCGGTCAGGTTTGGTATTTGACCAGCAATGTGTTCAATGTCAGTGCTTTGCAGATAGCATTCTATTACATTCAACTTCCGAAGTCCCGTCAGTTTTTGAAAGGGTGGTATCCAGATATCCGCGGAACCACCCAGACCATCAATGCGATCAAAGATCAAACTGACTAATTCTCTTCTATTACTGAATGACTGTAAAATATCCGCCATGTCCTCACCGGTTAGTGAGGACCTCTTAATGCTCAGTTGTATGCCATCATCGCATGTTTTTACGGAGAACCTACCAACATCACAATCCACAAGATTCCCTATGCAACTGACTGATTTAGCGAGACATTTTACATCCCGACTGTCTAAGTCACAACCCCTCATTTTGAGCTTTTTCAGGTAAATCATCGACTGTAAACTAGCCGCCCACGTTTCTGCGTTCCCACCAAGGTTGGGATTCTGTACAAGGATCAAACTGACTAAATCTCTCCTAATACTGAATGACTGTAAAATATCCGCCATGTCCTCACCGGTTAGTGAGGACCTCTTAATGCTCAGTTGTATGCCATCATCGCATGTTTTTACAGAGAACCTACCAATATCACAATCCACAAGATTCCCTATGCAACTGACTGATTTAGCGAGACATTTTACATCCCGACTGTCTAAGTCACAACCCCTCATTTTGAGCTTTTCCAGGTGAATCATCGACTGTAAACTAGCCGCCCACGTTCCTGCGTTACCACCCAATCCCTTATTGAATGAAAGATCAAGATCGGCCAAGTGGGGCATCTCCCCAACTGATGATGCAATATGTGGTATATCTTGTTTACTTATGCCGCATGATATTAACCCGAGTGATTTCAGGTGAATCATCGACTGCAAGCTAGCTGCCCATGTTCCTGCGTTACCACCAAATCCATCATTGAATGAAAGGTCGAGATCGGTCAGGTTTGGTATTTGACCAGCAATGTGTTCAATGTCAGTGCTTTGCAGATAGCATTCTATTACATTCAACTTCCGAAGTCCCGTCAGTTTTTGAAAGGGTGGTATCCAGATATCCGCGGAACCACCCAGACCATCAATGCGATCAAAGATCAAACTGACTAATTCTCTTCTATTACTGAATGACTGTAAAATATCCGCCATGTCCTCACCGGTTAGTGAGGACCTCTTAATGCTCAGTTGTATGCCATCATCGCATGTTTTTACGGAGAACCTACCAACATCACAATCCACAAGATTCCCTATGCAACTGACTGATTTAGCGAGACATTTTACATCCCGACTGTCTAAGTCACAACCCCTCATTTTGAGCTTTTTCAGGTGAATCATCGACTGTAAACTAGCCGCCCACGTTCCTGCGTTCCCACCAAGGTTGGGATTCTGTACAAGGATCAAACTGACTAAATCTCTCCTAATACTGAATGACTGTAAAATATCCGCCATGTCCTCACCGGTTAGTGAGGACCTCTTAATGCTCAGTTGTATGCCATCATCGCATGTTTTTACAGAGAACCTACCAATATCACAATCCACAAGATTCCCTATGCAACTGACTGATTTAGCGAGACATTTTACATCCCGACTGTCTAAGTCACAACCCCTCATTTTGAGCTTTTCCAGGTGAATCATCGACTGTAAACTAGCCGCCCACGTTCCTGCGTTACCACCCAATCCCTTATTGTTTGAAAGGTTAAGATCAGTCAGGTTTGGTATTTGACCAGCAATGTGTTCAATGTCAGAACTTTGCAGTGAACAACGTCTTAAATTCAACTTCCGAAGTTTCGTCATGTTTTGTAAGGGTGGAGCCCAGATATCTGCGAAACCACCCAAACCATGAATGCCATCAACGATCAAACTGACTAAATTTCTCCATTTACCGAATGACTGTAAAATATCCGCCATATCCTCAACGGTTAATGAGGACATGTTAATGCTCAGTTGTATGCCATCATAGCGTGAATGTACAGATAAACTACCAAAATCACAATCCACCAGATTCCGCATGCGACTGACTGATTGAGCGACGCATTTTACATCCCGATTGTCTAAGTCACAATCTCTCATTTTGAGCTTTTTCAGGTGAATCATCGACTGCAAACTAGCCGCCCACGTTCCTGCGTTGCCACTCAGGTTCAAATTCTTTGAAATGTCAAGATCATCCAAGCTTGGTATTTGACTTAATGCTTCAGCAGGGTCTTCCATGTCAATCCTCTGCAATGAGAAATCTCTCAAACCCAACTCACAAAGTTCCGTCCGGTTTGGTAAGGGTGGGGGCCATATTTTCTGGGAACCACCAGGACCATGAATGCCATCAAGGATCAAACTGACTAAATCTCCCCGATTACTGAATGACTGTAAAGTATCCACCATATCCTTGCCGGTTAGTGAGGAGCTCTGAATGCTCAGTTGTATGCCATCATCGCATGGCTGTACAGAGAAAATACCAACATCACAATCAACCAGATTCCCCATGCAACTTACTGATTGAGCGACGCAATTTACATCGCGACTGTTTAAGTCACAATCTGTCATTTTGAGCTTTTTCAGGTGAATCATCTTCTTCAAACTAGCCGCCCAAGTTCCTGCATTACCACCCAAGTTCGAATTCTTTAAAAGGTTAATATCAGTTAATCTTGGTATTTGACCTAACGATGCTGCAGGGTCTTTAATGTCAGTGCTTTGCAGTGAGAAATCTGTGAAATCATAGTCACAAAGTTCCGTCAGGTCTTTTAAGGGTGGGGGCAAGATACCTGCGGAACCACCCAGACCATGAGTGCCAACAAGGATCAAACTAACTAAATCTTCCCGATCACTGAATGACTGTAAAATATCCGTCATATCCTCGCCGGTTAGTGAGAAGCCCTTAATGCTCAGTTGTATGCCATCATCGCATGGCTGTACAGAAAAACTACCGAAATTACAATCCACGAGATTCCCCATGCGACTGACTGACTGAGCAACATATTTCATATCTCGAATGTCACAATCACTCATTTCGAGCTTCTTTAGATGAATCATTGACTGCAAACTAGGCGCCCACGTTTCGGCGTTACCACACAATCCATTATTGTCTGAAAGGTTAAGATCAGCCAGGTTTTGCATTTCGCCAACCCCTGATGCAATATGTGGTATGTCTTGTTCATTTATGTTGCATGATTTCAAATCAAGAGATTTTAAATGACTCATCGAATGTAAACTATACGCCCACGTATCTGCGTTATCACCTAAGTCTACATTGTATGATAGATCAAGAACGGCTAGGTTTGGCATCTTTCCAACCAATGATGCAATGTCGATTACATCGCGCGGTTTAAAGCCACATTCCACTAAACGGAGTGTTTTGAGGACTGCCCAGTCTTTGGCAGTCAAGTCACCTGCATTCTGATATGATGATAAAAGCTGGTAAACATTGCTACCACTTAGTGTGCATGAATCAAAACGCAATTCGTGCAGATTTTTTATTGCGGTCAAACGTGAAGCAAGGACATTACTCAAACTTGACAGGTCACACCTAGAAAATTTAACGCGACATACTGCATTGAGGTAATCCACTTCCAAGAGCTCTGTCTGCTCGGCCACATGCTGCATCAACCACACGAGAGAGTTCATTGAGTCGTTGCTATAGCTATCTATCTGCATAGATTCAGTGAAAAACGATTCAATGAAATCGTTTGATAACAAATCTGATGATTGACTTTCAAAGTAGCAACTTAGGGCCAATTTCTTCACTCCATCGTGATCTGGATTTTCGTGCAGCATCTGAAGTATACGAATTGCACATTGTTGATTGTCACCGCAGCAGAAGCGAAACACGTACTCAAAATTCATAGGATCCCGAATTTTATCGAGAATCTTCTGAAAGTTCCCATCGCCTTTGCTTAAAAGACTCTGACAGTACATAGCTGCGCAGTACTCTTGAATTGTCTTATGAATAAACTGCACGTTGTTGTGTTTTTCAAGCCACTTCATGACCCTCTTACTAGTGAGAATACCCGCTTGTAACGCTTTGTTAAGTACACTCTTCTCAAACTCTCCCTCTTGAAATGTAAGTCTCTGCTCTGGAGAAACAAGCCCTTGTAATGCAATTTTTCCGATTGCAATCACTACTTCCGATATTGCTTCTTCTGATACTTCAGACATCTTTCTTCGAAATATGTATCTAATTGCCTCACTGAACAACCTTGATAAAGTATCGGGTAGTGTTGCCTCTGCCCTCCATAAAACACACATTAGCAGGAGTAGCATAGGACTCCTTGCTAATTCAGACAGGACATCGGATGATTGAATCCTTTCAAGAAGTCCCCCAACCATGTGACGTTTTTTAGAAAAAAATTTGTTCACATACTCTTCAATATCTTCCATCCTAAAGCCGAGAACATTCACGTGTGTGAAAGGTTTAGTAATGAGTGATTTGCTTGTCAACTTAACAAGGTGGGATGGTCGTGTTGTTACGACTACAAAACATTCTTTGCCAACTTTTCGATTGAGCATTCTTAAAATGGGACCAAATTTCTTTGGTTCGAGTTTAGTTGTCCTAAATTCATCAAAACCGTCTATAAGAATGAGCACTCTACTACCATTGTTTTGAATGAATCCTTTCAAATCACGCTTGTTAACTTTTGTGTCGTCTGATAAAAGTTGATCAAAGACTGACTTAACAAGATGCGAAGTTTGGTCGAGAGCGGACATTTTCAAAACAAACAAAAGTGTGAACGTTTTGAGTGCAATACCTTTTGCCCAATCGTATGCAATTTTGTCAATAATAGTGGACTTGCCCAAGCCAGGTAATCCACACAAAATGACGCGTTTAATCACTTTCCTGTCTTTTTGTATGAGGAAAATGTCCCCGTACTCATTAACATACCCCTCAATGTCATCCTGGTCACCCTTTTCTAATTGCAACTCTGTATATATATCCATAATATGTTTCATGTCGTCATCGACCCAGGGTATTAACTGAACGTAGCTACCTGTGGTGGTATACCGGTCTTCTAATTCACTCCTGCACTGATCAGCAGCATCACTCGGATTGGATTGCGCTCTTCCCGTCTCGGCTGTTAAAAGAAAAGAGGCAACGTTAGGAGTGTATGTCAGCGGCGGCACTTGCAATGGGTTCAAATGGATTCATGATTTTTCTTCCTGTTGATGTTTCTTAAGGGTATTTTATTGGCTTGATATGGTTTTTTTTTGGTAAAATGCAATTGTTCTGGCAACGGGTATACAAAAATGTTATGTCTTGATTTCCCTCTTTCCCGAAAGTGCTCTTAGTGAATATTTTTTCTTCCGATCAGTCAAATTTGCTTGCCAATTAAGCAAAGTGCGAGGGTGGTCTACAAAGAACTAATTTACCGAACTGTGTCTTCTGGCAGAAGATAAAAGGACACTGACTTTTTGATTATCTACTAGCAACTATGTATTGGTATGTATTATACTACAGGCTACACATGCGCATCTCTAAGGAAGAAATTAATGCACCGCCATGATGGATGTTATACAAAGGATCTGTTTAGTCAGTATCTTAGTATGTTAGTAAAAGTAAGTCTTGTTGGATGTAGTTATTGTTGGATGCAGTTATTTGTGTCGTATCCCAGTAGGATCTCGTAGACTGCAGTTTCCTGTGCCCAGTTCGCCTTCAATATACACGTATGTCGAGTTGGTGGTTATGTAACACCAATAATAAACTGGTGGTTCCACATGTAACACCATAAACTAGACAAAAGTGCTATTAATTTAGAGGTCTGCCCGAACCCAAAAATCTTGAATGTAAGATTTTCCTGAAAAATCTTTGCAAATTGGGTCCCTTGTAAAAGCGTGCTGTTTAGGTTAATTCATTAACAGAAATCGTCATGCGAAATTCCGATACAAAAACTGATTTAATAGGATCTCATTCTGCCAATCGAATCACAACTAATTTATTGAGTTCCTCTTGCCACTATTTCATTAGTTTCATTAGTTTTAACACACTCGATAAGGCTGCGTTCCTGTCAAAATCCTTTTGGTACTTTTTCTTCGTGCACCAAAAATTTGTGAAATTTGTATGAAATGGAAGTGTACGATTTGCAAAACTTTCTTCAGTTACTGAGCGTACCTGATGTGCCCCGAACCAAGTCGTTCCTGCCTGAATCAATCAGAGCCTTCTCCAACGTCCGCCATGCTTCCGTGTAATTGTCCTGCTTTCTCCACCATGTGCTTAACATCTCAAAGCACTGCCTTACAACATCGTTGGAGTGATTAGCCCTAATGATGCCAATGTGTTCTTTTGAACATTTCAAGCATAAGGCCAATTTTTCCCAGTCTGTTGCAATCTTCTCAGATTGTTTCCGGATGGCTCTGTCGTCAGGTCGAGTATCTATCAATGAATAAAATGCAAGTACACCATAAATAAAACGCGTACAGCTTTAGAAGTCATTATTATTGTTAGAATGTATTCTCTTGGAAAGACTGAGATAATCCTGAAAAAACAGGTTGTAACCTTCCAACTGTACTGCAAGAGACATGGAATTTTTATGACGCTATTTGAAATCATCTGACATACTAAATAGTTCAGTTTCATGATGTCTCATTCACGCATATATTTATATTAATGTTAAGGATTTTTACCAGTCTGACACAGAAAAAAATCTTCCTGCCACATTTCAGTCAATGTTTAGGAATCGAGAACAAGTCCACTCGCAGACCGGATACGTTCGCGCGCAAAAGGAACCATGAATTAGCCGTTTGCAGCAGCCCAAATAAAGTCGTTACATCTTACTTTACACTTTAGATGAAACGAGCAATACATTTTAACAAAAATGTATACCTAACAGTACAAAGGGAAACAACGAATGAAATTCAGGGGAGAGAACATACAAAATATTGGATTCCGTGTAATTAGTTACCTGATCTGCTTTCTGTATCAGTCACTCCCACAGCCCCTCCCATTTGTACCTCTGGTTGAGAGTCGTCTCGATGACCAATTTCATCCCGTTTCGGTCTCTGGTCCTGAGATAATGAAGCCTCGTTCTGCTTTCTCTGTTCTTTGGCCCTTCCCACTTGTATCTCTGGTTGATGTTTATCTTGATAACTCTCTAATTGCCCATGCCTCGGTCCATGTACTTCCGATGACGTCGTCCCCTTTTGAGCGTTCTTCTCGAATTCCCTCATTTTCAGCTTTGTCTGTTGAAGCTCCTGACTCTGTCTATGTTCCTCATTAGATTGTTTTGTCTGTTTCTGCTTGCCCTGTTCTTGAAAAACTACTCCTTGTTCATGTAGCTGAGGTTTTTCTTGTTCAGCAACTTCCTCCTGTCCCGGTCTAGGTCTCTCAGTTGATGTACTTACTTTCTGCTTGTTCTGTTTTTGAGCCCCCTCCACATCTACCTCCGATTCAGGTTTGTCAAGATTACTTACTTCCTCCTGTCTAGGTTTCAGGTCCCCAGATGATGTAGTCATTTTCTGCTTGCTCTGTTCTTTAGCCTCTGCTGCTTGTACTGATGGTTTGCGTGTGTCTTGATGACCACCTTCCTCCTGCCTCGGTCTCTGGTCCTGAGATAATGAAGCCTCGTTCTGCTTTCTCTGTTTCTTTTCTGTTTTGTTTTCTTTGGCCCCTCCCACTTGTATCTCTGGTTGATGTTTATCTTGATAACTCTCTAATTGCCCATGCCTCGGTCCATGTACTTCCGATGACGTTGTCCCCTTTTGAGCGTTCTTCTCGAATTCCCTCATTTTCAGCTTTGTCTGTTGAAGCTCCTGAATCTGTCTATGTTCCTCATTAGATTGTTTTGTCTGTTTCTGCTTGCCCTGTTCTTGAAAAACTACTCCTTGTTCATGTAGCTGAGGTTTTTCTTGTTCAGCAACTTCCTCCTGTCCCGGTCTAGGTCTCTCAGTTGATGTACTTACTTTCTGCTTGCTTTGTTTTTGAGCTCCCTCCACATCTACCTCCGATTCAGGTTTGTCCTGATTACTTACTTCCTCCTGTCTAGGTTTCAGGTCCTCAGATGATGTAGTCATTTTCTGCTTGCTCTGTTCTTTAGCCTCTGCTGCTTGTACTGATGGTTTGCACGTGTCTCGATGACCACCTTCATCCTGCCTCGGTCTCTGTGCCTGAGATGATTTAGTCCCTTTCTGCGTGCTCCTTTCTTTAGTTGGAGCCACAAGAATCTCTGTTTGAGGTTTTTTTCGTTGACTAACTTCCTTTTGTCCCGTTCTCTGTCCCTCAGATGATGTAATCCCTGTCTTCTTGCTAGTTTTGTCTTGATTACCACAAAACTCCTCCTCATGTCGTCTGTTCTGTCCCTCAAGTGACATATACCCTTTCTGTTTGCTGTGATATTTAACCTTTTCAACTTGTTGCGGTTTATCTCGATAATCATCTAATTGGCCATGCCTCAATCCGCATTCTTTGGATGAAGTCATCTCCTTCTGAGCGTTCTTCTCAAATACCTGTAGTTTCTGCTTTTTCTGTGGAAGCTCGTGACTCGGTGTCCGTTTTTGTTTGACCTGTTTTTTAATAAGTTCTCCTTGTTCGTGTATCTGAGGTTTGTCTTGTTTAGCAAGTCTCTCCTCTCTTGATCTCTTTCCCTCAGGGACTGCAGTCTCTTTCTCATCGCTCCGTTTATTCGCCCCTCCCACTTGAACCTGTTGTTGACGTTTGTCTTGATGACCAACTTTCACCTTTCTCCATCTCTGAACCTCAGATGATGTAGTCGCTCTCTCCTGTACTGATGGTTTGGGTTTCTCTAGGTGACCAACTTCCTCCAGTCTTGGTCTCTGCTCTTCAGATGTTAAAGTCCTTTTCCGCTTTTTCCGTTTTTTAGCCCGTCCCACTTTCATTTCTTGTTCAGGTTCGTCTTGATACCCAACTTCCTCCTGTCTCAATCGCTGTCCCGCAGATATTGAAGTCAATTTCTGCGTGCTCTGTTTTTCAGCCCCTCTCTTTTGTACTGATTGTTTGGGTTTCTCTACATGACCAACTTCCTCCTGTCTTAATCTCTGTTTCTCAGATGTTGAAGTCCCTTTCCGCTCTCTCTGTTCCTTAGTCTCTCTGTCTTGTACTGATGGTTTGGGTTTCTCTAGATGACAAAGTTCCTTCTGGCTTTGTCTCTGTTCCTTAGATGGTGATATGCTTTTCCGCTTTCTCCGTGTTTTAGGCTGTCCCACTTTCATGTCTTGTTCAGGTTTGTCTCCATACCAAACTTTCTCCTGACTTGGTCTCTGTTCCTCAGATGTTGAAGATCGTTTCCGCTTCCTCCTTTTTTTAGCCCATCCCACTTTCATCTCTTGTGCAGGTTTGTCTCGATACCCACATTCCTCCTGTCTCAATTTCTGTTCATCAGATGTTGAAGTCCCTTTCTGCTCTCTCTGTTCTTTAGCCTCTCTCCCTTGTACTAATGGTTTAGATTTCTCTAGATGGCCAACTTTCTCCTGTCTCAATCGCTGTCCCGTAGATATTGAAGTCCATTTCTGCGTGCTCTGTTCTTCAGTCCTTCTCTTTTGTACTGATGGTTTGGGTTTCTCTACAAGACTTACTTCCTCCCGTCTTGGTCTCTGTTCTTCAGATGTTAAGGTCCCTTTTCGCTCTCTCTGTTTCTTCGCCTCTCTTTCTTGTATTGATGGTTTGGCTTTCTCTAGATGACCAAGTTCCTCCTGTCTCGATCTTTGTGCCTTAAATGTTGAAGTCCTTTTCCGCTTTCTTCGTTTTTTAGCCCGTCCAACTGTCACATCTGGCTCAGGTTTGTCTCGATATCCACATTCCTCCTGTCTCAATCTCTGTTCCTCAGATGTTGAAGCCCCTTTCTGCTCTCTCTGTTCTTTGGTCCCTTTCTCTTGTAGTGATGGTTTGGCTTTCTCTAGATGGCCAATTTCCTCCTGTCTCAATCTCCGCTCCTTAGATATTGAATTCATTTTCCGCTTTCTCCTTGTTTTAGCCCGTCCCACTTTCATCTCTTGTTCAGGTTCGTCTCGATACCCAACTGCCTCCTGTCCCTGTCTCTCAGATGATGTAGGCCTACATGCAGTATCTTTCTGCTTAGCCTGTTCTTTAGCCCCTCCCATCTGAACTTCTTGTCCGGATTTGTCTGGATGAAGCTGAAATTGTCCATGCCTCGTTCCGTGTTCTTCAGCTGATGTCATTACATTTTGAACATTCTTTTCAAATTCTTCTAGTTTCTGCTTTTTTTGTGGAAGCTCTTTACTCGGTCTCTGTTTCTCAATAGATTGCCATGTTCGTTTCTGCTTGCCCTGTTCTTTCACAAATACCCCTTGTTCAGGTATCTGAGGTTTGTCCTGTTCAGTAATTTCCTTCTGTCTTGGTCTCTGTCCACAGGATGTAGGCCCTTTCTGCATGTTCTGTTTCTTAACACCCTCCATTTGCCCCATTGTGTTAGGATTGACTAGATGACCAACTTCCTCCTGACGCGGTCTCTGACCCTCTGATGATGTAGTGCCTTTCTGTTTGTCTTGTTCTTTAGTCCCTCCTGTTTGTATTGATGTTCTGGCTTTCTCTTGGTTAACAATTTCTTCCTGTTTCATCCTCTGTCGCATATCTGATGGAATCATAAAAGCCAGCTCTTCACGCCCGATTGAATTTAACGCGTCTCTCAAACTTTGAAATCCTTCCTCGCGATTTGTTTGCTTTCTCCACCAAGAAAGCAGCATCTGAAGGCTCCTTTCTTTGTCGTTTTGAAAGGTGGTTTGGATTTCCTTGATTTCTGCTTCTTCATATCCCAGGGATTTGGCCAACTTATTCCAGCATGATTCGGTTTTTGAAGCCAAATCCCGGAAGAACGGATCATCAGCAAAATGTTTGCCTGCCAAACAAAAAGAAACCTTTTCGTAAGGACAAAAGTACAATGCATTTATCATTTTATTTATTATTTCACTTTCATTGAGTTGTCTATCTTTTTGGGAGGCAAATGCAGGGTAAGGTGAGACATTACAGCAGAGGAGGTGGCACATTAAGTTAGATCGCTCTTTTTCACATTAAGTTAGATCGGTTTTTGCACCTGTGCTCCTCATAATGCAAAACCCCCTCCCCCCCCCCCCTAAAAAAGAAGAGGCTACAGGGTCAATCATGTTCTCATCATTGCACTTTCTAGGATACATTTTCAAATGCAGTTGCTTATGCCTTTCCCCCCGTGACTTACAGAGGAGGATGCGGTATCTCCGGCCCGTGAAGGTAAAAAGCCCGCAGGTTGTTCCCCATCTAGAAAGATACTGTACATGTTTTCCATGAGCATTTACCTTTAAGTCCACCGCCCAGGAGGCCATCGGTACACAGACGAAGTGAGATGTTCTCGTCCTGTTGAATTCCATAGTCGTGAAGTGTCAGCAAGTTACAGAGCTGTAAAACAATTTTTAATATCCTGATTTAACACACTCTTTGGAACCATTTTCATCATGAGACTAAATCGGTAGTGCTAAAACCAGCAAACTTTAGTGCTAAAACACCATTACACTGACATCAGAGGTAGCACTATTTAACATACACGAATGATGTATCAGAAGAGGTTATCACTAAAACCCACAATGCATGCCTTTAATTCGATGGATTGTAATGGTCTTTTCGTTATGGGTACTTTTAAAATATGAAGCCAACCTTACCTCTAAATTACGAAATTTTCTTCGAATGAACAGTCTCTGTAGTTGAGACTGGACACCGAGTTTCTCCTGTATTTCCTGTTTCAAGGATGAGACAGATGTCTGTTGATCCGTTTGTAAACAAAGCGTAGTTGGTTTTTGCAGGAGGTGACTTCGAATGAAGACCTGCAGTGCCACATATCTGAAACTGTTAGAATGGAGGTTTTGCATTTTAAAGGCTTTTAAATATTTTTTTAAAAATTAAATCCATGAATTAGTCTTAAAACGTTCTCTATTAACACAAATTTTAAAGTGACGAAAGATGATTGTTTTCAAACGGAGTACAGTTTTACACAATGCAAATATTGATGAGTTTTATTGGCTTAGGTAATTGAAACACGAAGTGCATTACGAACAGGAGCGTTTAATCGTGTTTTACCTGATAAGCCGAGGTTTGTCTTGATCACCAACTTGTTCCTTCTTCAATTTCCCCTCCTCGGTTGATGCCGTCCCGCTCTGTTTGCTCTCCTCGTCAACTCCTGCATCTTGACGCCTTTCAGGCTCAGGTCCAACTGTCTCGTCTCTCGATTCGCTAGTTGCTGATGTAAGGAGGAAAACAGATTGTTTTAAACTATCTCTTATGTTTTGAAATTTACGTTCTAAATAAACAGTTTTTTTTATCAATCAGGGAGATTTTAATCGCTTATTTGTTAAAGAGTTCGGTAAAACAGCGGGGTACCACGTATTTTTTCTCTCCCACAATTATAGCGTCTAGTGTAAAGTTTAGTCTAAAATTACTCCTGAGTATAAGAAATTTGCTCGTTCGCATTTTAGCTCACCTGGTACATTTTGTGCCAAATCAGTCAACCCGATGACCTCCAATGCTCGTCTCAGCTTCTGAGCTGCTTCGTCGCGATCTGTCGTCTTTTCCCACCAAGTACGTAGCATGTTACGGCTCTCTTCAATGCTGCCTTCGTTGGTGGTTTGGATGTCTGCAATGTCCGCTTCTTCATATCCTAGGTGTTTGGCCACTTCCTTCCACGACGATTCAATTTTCGAGGACAAGTTCTTGAGGTACTCATCATTAATAATGCTTTTATCTGCCAAAAGGAATTTCAACTTGGCCTTCATTGAAACATTTCTTTGCGCGCCAAAGTCCGTATTGTTACCAACGTAAGCTTATTAACTACATCCACAACAAAAAGATACATTTTTTCTATATCCACGGCTCAACTAAAGAAAGCAAAATCACCGTAGGAGGTAGTTTATGCAGTTGTCATTTACCTTTTGGTACATCGTCGCAAGTCTGATCGTCTTTTGATAGTCGAAGAGAGATGATTTCATCATTGTTGACTCCATTCTCTTCAAGTGTGAGTAGGTCACAGAGCTAACATAAAAATAAGTTACAAATATAACTACGTTACAAAATATTTACGGAATTTATGGATTGTTTTGTATTCGTTTAAACGACTATCAAATTTACCTTCGTTTTGACCATGTTTGGTTTAGATAACTTGTGATTTACCTCTTATACAGTATACATAAATAGACAGTTATGTTAATCATGAACATTATTTTGAAGTTTTTGTACCCTGCATATATCCATTTTAACAATAGCCCTACGCGCAAATCTAATGTAGGCGTCCGTATATTGTAAATTGAAACATACCGACCTGAAAGTTCCGCCGGATGTACAGACGCTGACGCCGCGCCTCAAGACCAATCTGCTTTTCTATGAGCTCTTTTAGCGATTGAACGGATGTTCCTAGATCAAGTTGGAAGCTAAGTCTCTGAGGTGCATCATCGTTGGCATTTTCGGGAGTCTTGACGGAGAATTTGAGCTTCTGTTTCAGATTATTGATGACACTGTAATAAAAAAGGATCGTACAATATGTTTTTTCTCTTTGGTAAATGTTTCAATTGAGATCCAGCAAAATACACTGAAAGTATTCGTTTTGGGGTCATCTTTGGTCGGTACAGTGATTGATTTTAAAAGACATTACTTTTGAAATGAAGACATAAACATCGACTCATTTGATGTGGCAATACACTTTCTATTTTCGGTCTAACGTAAAAGTTGAGAGAAACGTTGCCACGCCCAACCTTTCCTAGAAACTGTTGAATCATCCAATAAATGATGGGGTCGAGTAAAGTTTCAACAATATAGGTATATTGAATGAGTTTAATACACCTACTGGATTTGTTCAGCATTGCTTTAATATCCTCAGCCTCGATAACTGGTATTTAATACTAGGGGTGAATTTGAAGCAGAAGAAAACTTTGTAGCTGGTCGACATGGGGCTCAGTAGTATCCTAGTATACCATTTATAGTCCCGGATCCAGAACCCAAAAAATGAGTTAACCCTTCACAATTTCCTCCCCACAATATTTTTACATTTTTTAATGCAGTAAGACCTGCTGATTCAGAATCTGGACGGTGGATTCAAATTTGACCCGGCGAAAACGCATTTTTAGGTCAAAATCCAATATGGCCGCCATTTTCTCCAATTTTTTTTAAAATAAATTCATCAATAATCGACCAATTGAAGCCAAATTTTGCTCAGAATGTGACTCGCGGTAGATAATCATGTGTACAAAATTCAGAATTTTAGTAAAATCCAATATAGCGGCCATTTTTGCCCCCCCCCCCCTCCCTTAAAAAACGAGCAAAAAGAACACTTGCGGTTATAGTCCAAGACCCAGGGGTCCTTTACGTTTTCGGGAATGACCAAGTGTTTGGTGGGTATGTTGGGAAACACCTTGGATACACCATGGGGAATTCGAAGTGGCTAGTCTTATGGTCACCTTGTGGTGGACCTGGTTACCAGGAGCAGATATGTGACGTCACACAAGGAAATACAAAATATGGCCAATGTGCATTACTGAGAAGATTATGTGCCATGTTTGAGATTTAATTCCATTTCAAAGGAGTTCATGTCAATATGAGCATTTAGAATAGATGTCCAAGTAATTTGAATAGGATGGGTCTTTTTGACTCCAAGGACCATTTGATAATGCTACATGTAGTTTAGGTTTTTGTTGCCTAGCAACCACATCCTCCTTAGCAACGTCCATTTGGTGCCTGATTAACTTACTAAAAACGAACCTACAATGGGAATGACAAAGTATTTGGGGTTATTTATGAAAAGTTACACCTTGGGGTATTCGAATTGGCTAGTCTTACAGTAGTCTGGTGGTGTACCTGGATACCAGGGGCAGATATGCGACTCACGCAAGAATTAGATGAAAATTACGGCTGATGCACAACATTAAGAACGCAAGCTATGTTAAAGATTACTTACTTTTAAATGAATTCAGATCAACGGATTAACATTTAGAAGCAATGTGTAATTTGGATAATTTGGATAGAATATAAGACACCAAGGATCATTTAATCATATTTGTTTAAATGTTTGTTGCCTAGCAACCGCATCCTCCTTAGCAACAACCCTTTGGAGCCTGATTAACTTACTGAAAATGAATCTACAACGAAAATGACCAAGTAATTGTTGGTATTTCTTGTCCCAAAAAGGTAACCTTTCGGGATATTGAAATGGGTAGGTCTTACGGTTACCTGGTGGTGGACCTTGATGCCAGAAGTAATTACGTGACGTCACACAAGCAAATGAAAAAAATATGGCCTATGCGCAGCATTGTGAAAACTGCCCATGTTCAAGAATAATTTCCTTAATGAGTTCACATAAATAAAAGAACCCAAAAAGAGGAGATCTTTGGGTAATTTCAATAAGGTAGCCTATCTCCAGGACTATGTGATCATAATAATAATTATGTTCGTTGCCTAACAACAAGCTTCATTCCAAACAACAACCTGATTAACCTACAAACAATTAATCTACAACAGAAATCACTGAGTGTTAAGTGGATTTTTGGAAAGTTTACACCTTATATAGGGTATTCGAATTGGCTTTTCTTATGATTACCTGGATACTTTTCCCTGGCAAATTTGTTTCTTTCAGACTTTTAATATTTAAATATTACATTATCCTTATGAAAATATTCATAAACGTAATATAACGTTCATGATTATTCGTTTTTCAAAATGTGCCAACAATGAAACCACAATTGCGGTCAAATTGTATGTTGCACCTGGGGTCAATTAACATACAAATTTAGACCGCAAACGTCACAATTGAGTCGGAGGCTGGATGTTGGAACTTGGGAATTGAAACTGTTGATTGAGCAACACCAGACGGAGTAGGTCCAAATGCAATAGCAGATTAACTCACTCAAGAGGAAACAAGCGAGATACCGACAACTTCCCTTCGACAAATAACTCTTTCAATCTGGTTCCACACATGAGCTTTCCAACAACTCAAGCAGTTCATGAGACGGAAGCCACAAAGCTGCTATACAGGGTGGGTCTAAAAGAATTGACCGAATTCAAAAAAATATTTTAAAAATATTTGGCCCCATTTTAATTTAAAAAAATTGAAATAAAGTACATCTTATCAACTTTTAACTGTGAAAAACTTCACGTAATTGCATACTCTATTACCACTTTATACCTATTTCAATAAAAAGATCACAAAAGTAGGCTGTCCCCCAAATGATCATTTACCGTTCTAGAGGGGCCGTATCATAAGTCCGACGCCTCATAGGTCCGACGCCTCATAAGTCCGAAATTTCGGACTTATGAGGCGTCGGACTTATGAGGCATACAATTTATTTATTCCGCCTCATAGGTCCGACGCCTCATAAGTCCGACGGCTTATAAGTCCGACAACGGAAAAACGAAGCGTTTAATTTGTCGGACTTACGAAGCGTCGGAGCTATGCGGCGTCGGACCTATGAGGCGTCGGACTTATGAGGCGTCGGAACTATGAGGCGTCGGACTTAGGGGCCTTTATTTGGTTAGGGGATGCGATTCTGTCGGACCTATGAGGCGTTGGACTTATGAGCGGACCCCGTTCTAGAAACTGATGAATACCCGTTGAGTAGTTGAAACATTGACATTTTCCTCCACCTTCATGCATGAACGAGGACTTGTAAAGGAAAACATACAAAATTCGACTTCAATATTTCGGTGGGAAAAGTTTACTTGTTCGTCATATTCGAAACTCACATGACGGTAAAAATAAGGTTTGCCTATATGAATGCTTATTTTTAATCTGTAATTCAAAATAAGCTCAACAGCTTCCAATGGCATTCCATGGGCAGCTATGAAAATGGGTAAGTTTAGTAAGCCATGCATAACCTCGGAGAGCATTGGTCAATTTCAGTAACTCTTTTTTTTTCAAATCATGTGTTCAAGAACATGCTCTATAAAGAAAATGCTTAAAACAAATTTTAATGATGTTTCAAATTTGATTGCTTTTTAATAAAACAATCAAATTTGTTACTCACACTGTATTCGATTGTTAAATCTGTTTGGTTATTTAAGTCGCAGAGCATAACTTATTTCGTAAAAAGCCTCATCCTGAGTGACTGCTGTGTGTGTTCCATTCTAAGTAAAGACTTGACATGCATACATTTACGGCATAATCATGGAGATTTTGTCATGAATTGGGAGATTCATGTAGTTATTCCTATATGTTTATATAATGATGTACGGGGAGAATCATGTAAGACTGGGGTGAACAAAGTGAACAAAGATCCTTCCGCTGCGAAAACTCTGCGGCTTTTAAATTTAAGTCACGACTTTCCCAAAATGTTGATGCTTTATATCCATACAGAGTGGCACCGTATAATAAAGAAAGTCTTTATAAAGCGCGCACCTGTAAAGAAAAATAGAAAAAAAGAAATAAGGTTACTATTCACGTAGATCACCATGATGTTAAAACTTGGCCAGGGGTCCCAACCCAGTGTGATACAGAATGATGTTACAAAGCAAACCCACTCCAGTTAGTAGAAATAAGATTACTGGATACATCACTTGGAAAAAAAATAATGGACGGAATAAGTTTACAAAAAAACCCAAAAAAACCCAACTATGTGCAGAGGTTAGACAAAATTAAGATAAGTGTACATTTTGTATACATGGACATCACCAAGGAAGAAAAACATGGCCAGGGTTTCCCTTATTGGTAGGTAACCCATTGTGATAAAAGGATGTTAAAAAAAACATTTTTGGCAGTGCTAAAATTATATTGAAACTATAATTGAATACATCACCGTGAACAAAAATGGCCAGGGTTTTCCTATGGGTGGCTAACCCATAGATGTACTAAAAGGAAAAAAACACATGCATAGGTTACAAAAGTAGGAATGAGATCATTGTAGAAATCTCCATGACAAAAAAAAGGCCAGGGGTTCTCCTGTCACGCCTATCCTTAACCCATTGATATACACAATAGCAAAACCACTGCAGGCAAGATGAACAAATAGAATGATTAAACATTAAATAAAGTTCCCCCGTTGGTGGTGGAGCCATTGTTCAGAATTTATGACGAGCATTAATAGCGTTCTAACTAAGCAAAAACCTAAATAACAAACAAGAAAATTAAACAGCCGCTGCAGGAGTCTATCTAGTCCCACCCTGTCTTAGTGAGAATTATCATTGATATACAATTCTATTTTAGCACTGAACCAGATATTCATTCTGAAAAATGAATCAGCTTTATTTACAAAAAGAATGTGCAGAAATACTAACACGATTTATAACCATATCGACCCCCACACGAAAGCATTGGATTGTTTGAGCAATGAAATTAAATAAAAAGAACGGCAACAAAAATACATATAGGCCTAATTTAATAAAAATTACTTCGTATGAAAATATTTCAAGGCTGGCTGGCAACTACATTTCCTTTTTTTTTTCAATTTCCCCTATTTTCCCCCATTTTTGGAAAATAAAACTCACCCAAATGGTTGTCACTCCAGTGTTATGTAGGCCCTAACAACTCAACTTTATCTGGGTCTACTACTAAACGAACGTATGGCATTGATAAAAAAAAAAATGAAAACTAGGCTTATTAGAGTTTAATGAAGATTACTTGAGATTGCAAAAGTAAGTTTGGAATGATAAGAACTGAAAATGAAAAAGGTGTCCTAAACTACACAATCGCAATGCAGATTTGACAAGTTAGGCCTAAACTAAAGGAAATAACTAAACTAAGCCTAGCCATATAGGCCTTAGTTAATTCATGACAATAATTTCTTACCATATTTGCTGTAAGATGTGGTCTTCACTCTTTGGAGAAAGTTGTTCTTGTCACTTAAGTTTGATATTCACAAGACGATACAAAGTATGACTATCGGATACGAACTCTGCGCGCACCGCGTGGACACGATAACCATACCGATTGTCGCTGCGGAAACCCCGACCAGAAATGACAGATTCACGGTCAGCTCGCACGTGTAACGTGGAGCAATTTTTATTCATCTGTAGTGTTCTTTCAACACAGTTTTCCTACAAAAGACATTTTCTTGAAGATTTATAATGATTTAATAAGTCATGGTTCAAAGTGACATAATACAGGATCAACTTAATACTTAATACATCTCAAAACAGAATCCAATTTCTCGGTCGTCTGTTGTAGAACTGCTTCTGCTACACTGCCATTTTCAAATTAACCTCCTTCCCATTCATTTGACCCCACTGCGCTACTCGGTAGGGGAAGAGACACGTACGGCGCGCTCGCCGCGCTGACTATAACAACGAGGTTGGCCGCATGCATTCACAGAGTCTGGTACCCAAAATAACGCGTTGTTAAACGAGCCTTTGTAATAGGGGTACCGGACCATTTTATTCCTTATCGTTTACGTTGGATTTTCACTACGATTTTGTTCTGAAAAAAACACTTTCGCCGGGTTAATTTTTCTTCCACCGTCCCGATTCTTAATAAGAAAAAATACACGAATCGTATACAAACAAGAAATGAAGGGGAGGAGATGGTGTAGGGTCAAACTTTTTAAAGCGATTTTGGCATTCTGGATCCCGGACTATTAACAACGGTAACGGAAGTTTTTTTTAAATTCTGTAGACTTTAAAATCAAATGGAAAAGGAGATTTTTGCAAACTCTCATCCAAACACATTTGCTAAGTTATTGAGATAATAATAACTGTCTTTGATCCTTTTGAAGTTACAAAGCATCAAGGAACTTTAACAGCATTTAAGAAAATTGGTTTTCGAGCGATTTTAAGAGAATAATGTTTTGCTCTTTTGATATGATTGCTTGAATCAAACTATAGTGGCAGTACAAATTGGTTGTTATACACAATTCGAAAACAAACATGGAAGATGCGCTGATTTTGGCGGACATTTTGTAAATAAATTGTAAATACTGTAGCCATACTGGGAAATGCAGCATCACCTTCCAATTTGTTTTCTGAGTGCTCTTCAGTTCATGTTTTGGTGGAACTACCGACGATCAATCCCTTGGGAGTTGGCCAAGCCTGGAGATGGAAATTGAGTATAGGCCTCTGAATGATTTTAAAAATGTAACTCAATTCAAACTTGCCTTGGTAAAATTTGATCACAAAATGCATTTGTTTTGGGGGCTAAAGTTGTTTTAATGTAGATCGTTTGCGGGAATTCTCTTACCTTTCTGTCGCAGGTTTACTTCTTGTTTTGCGGGTATTTAATGATGATGATGTCCTTCTCTCATGGGAGTGGTACTGAGACGACGGTTTTCTGTATGGAAGCACAGAAAGAAACGCCTCCTTCCTACGCCTGCTGACTTTAGTCTTCCTGCTGACGAGTTTGGCGTTAGAGTGGTCGTACACGACGGCTGTTGCCTTGATGTAGGCATCCAAATCCTGAATGGTCTTTTGCGGCATCTTGCCGTGTTGACGGTGAAGAAAGAAGTGAAGATTAACTCACAGAAAGGAAAATCAACCAGACGTTGTCAGAAGCCGTCCGTGTACTGGCAATATGCCCTACTGCAATGGATTGTATGTAAATCAGCTATACGCCCCATAAGTAAACATGGACTTTAACTAGCTATGCAAAATGCGCATAATTCTCGTGTCGGTAATGAACCCTTTCAAGGTAGAACAGACTATACATGACCTGGTCTTGTTTGAACTGGTTAGTACATGACGAGGTAGGACACCAGATCATTGGTTTATCTTTGGATGCTTTCCAAGCCACGGATTCGTCTCCAGCTTTGGCTTCGTCTCTGACTTGAGGATCATTCTAGGAGTGTATTTTTAATGTCAACAGCAAATGGATATTCTTCCAAGTTTGGTTTCATATTATAATATTTCATGCTGTTGATGAAACAGAACAAGGGCCCGGATAGAGGCTGATTCCCCTAAGTCAGGGGCCTCAAACTCTCCCGAAACCAAAGCAGAACCGAAGCTGTGCACTGGAAACCCATGAGTATTTGACTTTATCTAGATAGGTGCATCAGTAAACTTGTGAGTGCCGTAAACACTTCAGAATTGGACTTTTGGAACATGGCGTGAATAGATAAGCGGCCATGAAAAATATTGGCGTTGTCAGACCGCACGTATGCTGCTTTATACATGAACCACTAGAGCCAGACACTATATTACCAGACACTATACCCTGACATGTATTTGTAGAACATGTCGGGAGAGCACTTCATTAAAAAAAAAATCAAAGAGGAATAGCTTAAAAAAAACCTGTGTATCAGGTAAAACGTTTGGAAGACCGCAATGGCATTAACAAAGTCGAAACGACTGTGTCAGCAGGTCCGTGCTAAATACAGTGGGAAATGATCATAGGTGAAATAATATGAATTCAACGTTTTCAAAGAGACATATTTTCTTTTCTTTTTTTAAATATTTATTACATGTAGTGAAATTAGTGGTATATTCAGGGGGCAATATAAATTATAGTCGGCCATCTTGATTACGTAATATATACATGTTACCCCAAAGGGATTCTGGGTAATTTTGATGGTCCACATGTGACATTTTGTAGGGAAATCAAAATTTCACAACCGACAATACATATAATAGTAATCCCCTTCAAACACTACCGTCGAAGAGGGGTGGGGGGTCCAAAAGCATCCTACTTGAACAGCGCCCCCAATTCTCAGATGTTTTCACCACCTGTCTTACCACCCCCATTTTAATTATGCACCAGCCAAGTATTTGTATGAACGACATAAAAAATTGGGGACCCTTTTCAATTAAAACAAAAGTTCCAATTCTGCTCCCCTCCCGAACGCAAAACCTGGGGCGATTTCAGGAAATGCTAAAACGCGTCTTAAATCGCAACTTGTCTAAGGAACAATTGTACTTGTCCAAGGAACAATTGTATCAAACGTAAAATGTGTTCAATGCGTCATAACTTTTTTTTGCAACACGGTCGGACTCGTTTTAATATATCTGTCATAGATTATCCTATCCTATCATATCCTATCATATCCTATCTCTAGACTTGTCCCAAGTCTTGGTTTTGTTTATCGCTTTATATGTCCTAAGATGAGTTGTAAGATACATGTAGGACGAATCACGCTCTATCTGTGCGAATGGGCAAACAACGCTGATTGAGTGTTAAGAATGAATATTATGCAAAGCTCATCGACTGTGCTCAAGCACCAGGTAAGATTGACCAACTCTGGGTTTCTGAACTCACATGAAACTAGCCTATACGTAAACCTAAATGTAGCGAGATGCTATTGTATAGGGGCAAGGAATATGAGGCGTGACCCCGGGTGGGTGCTACTGCTCCACATGTGGGTGGAGCAAGGCGGCCCTGAAGCTCTGCGCGTTAAGGTTGTTAACCGTGCAGTAGTCACTAGTGCGTTTACTGACATACCACTTGTAACTCAGACTTGGGCGAAGTCTAACCGTTGAGTGGGTGCTGTTGCACGGAGCTCATAGTCGTCTGCCGAACTTGGTTGTATTCGGGTGTCTGCAATGAACAGCGCCACGAGTGTCGGACAGTGCTCATAGTTAGTTTCTGTGTTAACACCTGTCCGTGACATTGTAGGGCCCAAGTCGTATCCTATCTATCATCCTCACAACAAACGATGCATTGTCTGATGAATTCTGGGGAAGCTCCTGTTAATGATGGCGTTTTTGGAAAAAAAAATCTTTGGAGGCCAGAAGCCCGTCTCGGCCAAACAAATCCCGGAGGTTGTGGGTCTTCTCTGCGAAAACTTCGTTTGCAATCTCTGGGGGAAAAAAAGAAAGACAGATGAAAACAAGCAGACATGAATCCAATGATAAGTATCGCAGGAATTAAATTAGATTGGACATTCGCCGTGTTCGTCCATGCACAGATGGGGTGTGAACCCCCACATAAATCGATGTTGTCGGCTGCATTGTCCTCCTGTCGGGAAAAGTAATGCGTCCGTCGGCAAATTTGCAGGGATGATCTATTGTCTGATCTAATGCCCATGACTGTCCGCTTTGAACAGCGCACCTTATAGGATCAGGAAGACACTTTTCGATTTTAAAGAGGCCAGGGTGACCGGGTGAACAATCCTTTGTACCATTCAACAGGCATGTCTTGTCGGCAAATTTGTAGTCAACCCCCCCCCCCCCATTCGCTCTTTTCACACTTCCGCCATGGGCATGCAGAGCCTCGATCTGGCAACTTTACGCAATAAATATAGCCGGTTCAGTGATTCCCGTGTCGGGGTTCAGATCACTGAACCAGCTATTGTTATTGTGTAAAGTTGCCAGAGCGAGGCTGTGAATGCCCAATGGCGGAGTGTGAAAAGAGCGAATTGAAAGTGGTATAGCGACGTCCTCCTGAAAGTTGCTCTATGTTGCAATGGAGTGGAGGCATCATTTCGGCTATGGCGATGGGCGTCAAGATTGCTTTCAGGGGTGATAATGTTGTGAGGGATTTGATAACCAACAAAACTTTGAACAGAAATTTGTGAAAGTGGATGAATCGAACTTGAATTTGATGAATGCCTTGATCACCTGTGAGAGTAAGGTTTTTTTTTTTTTTTTTTTTTTTTTTTTTAAGAGGAAGATTTATTGTGTGTGCCTCGGGGCATTATGGTGTGCTCGTAGCCCAGGTTGGACGCCCAGACTTCATTGCATTCTCCCTCCGTACGTAGTGCGGTAGGGGAGTCCACCTGGGCTAGCTCTGTTCCCCCAGTAAGAAAAGAAAGGATATACTGCTCACGGTTAAACATGTAAGCGCGAGTATACACATTGATAAAGAGCGTCCCAGTATAATGTGGTGTCCAGCCCCCCCTTTTTTTCGAATGTCCACGGCCGGGCAATTCGGGCGTTTCATGTGCCACCAGGAGTTTGCCACGGAGAGTTCATTGTTCATAGTGCATTATGAGAGATGGTCGACAAATTCGCAGAGCGGGACATTTGAAATTGTTCCCGTGAGTAGTTTCGTAATCGTATGATTCGACTATAAATTTGGCTTTTTCTTTTCCTTGTATCAATATGGTTTTTTTTAAGGCGGCAGAACGCTATACCCGACTTTATAACCACTTAGCTAAAGTTGTTTAATGACTCTCATTCAAATGGGCCTGGTTTTGTCGACCGTAATTTGAAAAAAAAAACTGACTCTCCATGTCTAACTCTTACTGGCGCTCTGCATTGTGGGATTTGGGTCATCTCCCCCCCCCCCCCCCCCCCCCCCCACTCGCCAGCACGGATTTACACCACTGGCCGTCATTGCACTCGCATGGTCACGATTCTAATCATGCCACCGGCTGACGTAAATGTGATATTGTATTATATTGGCATCATTTCCTAGACTTAGCGTAAGTACAAGAAAAGATGCATTTTCCCAAGCTAGCTAAAGGAGCTGAATTTGAATCAGACAAACAATATTCCCTCGTAATTTTTTTGTAAACGGGTCAGTATAGTTTGATATAAATATAATGAGGTGGTGGAAACTTGCTAGAATTTCACTCAATCAGCGCGATATGTCAGTGCAGGCCGAAAGACGCGTGACGCGAAACAATTGATGAGACAGAATAAGGACGAGCTTGGTATATAAAGGTTAATTGCTCGCACTGACTCTGAATAGTCAACTGCTCCGTACATAAGAATGATTGTTGAAAAGAATTACGTAACAGCATTCATGTGTATAGCGCTATGCTGGTGCGTCTTTCGTGCATCTTTGAAACACAAAGTAACTCTCCCACTGTGGAAATAATGATTATGTTTTGAACGCAAAGAGAAAAGCACCTACTGAACCAGCCTAGTTGTTAAGCTGTCTGACAGCGGACCCAGGGTTAGGGGTTCGAATCCACTTGGTGTCATTTTTTGGGTTTCGATGCCCGCTGTTCTGTCATTTAAGAGTATTAATTTCCCGTCGTCATTTACCAACAGCAGTTAGCTCGGTCGGTCGGTAAGCTGACTCACAAGTTGGGACTGTCTGCGAAGTCCAGGTTGGCGTCTGCGTATAGGTACGGGGTTCTTTTGCTGACTCGGCAGCAAGGCTTAGGGTGCCACCTCGTTTCCTCCCTTTATGGTGCCTGACTTTCGAGTTACATGGATGGACAGGGAAGGAGGTGTGGTGGGCCGGGTACCGAGTCCCGGAAGAGTTCTATATGGAAGTCGGTAAGGGGCTCATTGAGTTAGGGTCATAAGTCCGACTCCTGAAGACTTGGCCATCGCCACATAACTTTTTGTTTTATTTTCTGTCTTTTCTAAGAATGGTTAATTTGTTATATTGAGAGCTTGTACTGTAATCGTTCGAAATTGATTTTTTAAAATTGCTCGAAAATACGAAATTCAATCCAATCATACCAATCATATCAATCCAGCTATAATATTTTTATTTCATTGTCGCAAAACTGCATGTACATGCTCATTACCTTTGCGCATACCTTGTTCAGGCCTGTTTCCTAATCCCTGACTGCGGGGGGGGGGGGTTC